AATTTTCAGTTAAAATATAAATTCAAAATTTTAAAATCAAAAGTAAATAATACTCAAACTAATTACATTAATATCTAAAGCAAACACTCGAAACGAATAATGTCCAAAATAACTTTTTTTTTTTATTTTTTTCATGGGGACGACGGGGCTGCGATCCCCGCCCCACTCTGCCAACCCGTCGTGGCGGGGCGGAGCGGGTTTTTTTACCATCACTTATCATTCAGAAATATACAAATAGCATAATTCGTCAATAATAATACCACTAATTGTTTTTATCCTTTCATCGTGCAATTAAATAAAGCAACAAGATAACACCGAAAATGATTCAATGTCGCGACAAAGGAAAAAATCGACGGGAAAAACTGACAATTCCATGCAATGTTTTCTTCTCAATATTTATTCGCAATCAACAGATAATCCAACAATCTATATTGGGCTGAACCAATTTAGTTCATTATGGGCTGGACCCATTTAATTAAAAAGAAAAACCGAATTGGGCCAAGGGCTCACAAGCCCAATAGTCTTCCCCCCTCAAGTCCACGATGGATGTACACTGAAAACTCCCATCCAGCGCCAGGAGTTCATCCTGGCCTACTCGGTACAAAATTCAAGCTTCTGCTTCGTAACAACCTTTGCATATTCTTGTCATTATGAAGCTTTTCAACTGCATAAATTTTTCATCCGTTGTTCTATATTTTTTACGTAAAAAAAAAAAAAATGGCGCATGCTTTTTGACACGTAGGCCCGCATTAGTTTCTCTTTTTGATGCTTACGTCGCACTAGTCAAGTCTTTTGCCCCATCTCGGATTATGGGCAGTCAAAAAATAGGGTATATCGTCTTTTCACCTTTTTTTTTTTTTATATGCATGCCTTCTTTACGCCTCACCTTGACTCGTATTTTTCCCTCGATCGCCTTGCCTCCGATCAATGTAAATGAGTTTACGGCTCGACGTGACTTGTGCCGAGCTAATTCACCAAGCCTAACAATTTCATAATTCTTATTGATTTTAAAAAAATAAACTGCAGTTTTAAACAGTAGGATTGTTCACTAGTTGACTTGAAGCACATGTTGTGTTGGTACTTCTTTAATCATCTAATTGAGATGTCATTTTTTTTTTTCTTTCTTTCCAGTTTTTTGTTTCTTATTGAATCTAAGATTTGCGTTTTAATCACCGACTCTGTTTTGAATTCTATTTGTTTTCAACAATAAAAGACAGCAAATAATGTTTGATATTGTCGACTACTCACGTGTTACTTTTAAATGCAAATGTAGGTATTCATAAATCATGTCTATGTACAGATATATGAAAAATCAGAAAGTTGTATTCGAGTCTTGCACGAGTTTATAGGATGAACGTGATACTAGTGGGATGCCCATCGTGTAACATTCAACCATCCACACAAATAATTTGTTCAAAGAACATGAGTCATGCATAATATTAGCCACTTTTCTATAAAGCTCGCCTAGGTTCGAAATTCTGACAAAACGCCTCATTTTACGCTTAGACGACGTTTTCTTTTTTCCAATTCATAAGCGACTTAATGTTTCCATTCCTCTTTTTCGTTTTTTCTAGGTGCGCTTTATTAGTTTTTTTTTTTTTAATTCTTTTTATTTGACTTTAGCTTATTAAATTTATTTTATTTTCAAAAAAAATTATTTGATTTTAATTTCAAGTTTTTAAAAGATTTTATCTATACGAAAGTTGAAAATGACTTTATCTAAATAGTTAAATAAGATTTAATTCATAGCACTATCTAAATTATGTAATTATGATTTTGAAACTCATTATTTGATTGCAAATTTCAAAAGTGTGTATGAATTTTCTATAAATTTATTAAGTATAAGTTGTCTAGTCGAAATTTGAAAATATGAGAAATATTCTAATTTTTATATTTTGAAAACTTGAAAATTGTATAATTGACTAATGGTATGAATTATTAAGTAAATATAGTATTTTATAATTTTAGATCTTTGATATGTATTATTTTAATTATTAAATAATTTTTAAAATAATTAAAAATTTAAACTAATATTAAAATTTAAAAAATGTTTTTTTTAATGCCTAAACTCACTTAAACTCGTAAAGTTTGAAACTTTTCCTCCACACCTAATTACGCTTTACACTTTGTAGAACGCTGATATTAACAATGTGTATGTTTTCAATTGTTTTTTAATCATGAGTGCAGATGAAGTTATAATAATTAATAACTAAGGTTCTAGTAGTGTAAAGCATGGTATTGCGACATGGTCAAGTTTCGAGATTATCAACATAAGTGTGCCTAAGCATAATATATAACACGTTTATTTATTTTTAGAGTGATACTACGTGTACACAATGGTGTACACACGATTTTACATCCCCCTCACATGGAGAGGGACCCACACACAATAAAATATTCGTGAGTCTCTCTCCACGCGAGGGAGGTGTAAAGCTAGGTGTACACATAGCATTTTTCTTATTTTTAATATCTTCTTAATTATTCTAAGATCATTAAATAAATAAAATAAAATAATATATATATACCTTGAAAGTTAAAATATATTTATACTTTCTAATTTGACATTATTAAGAGTGTGTTTGGGACACATTCTTTTGAAAGAATGTATTATTGAATAGTAGATTGATGGAGAATGTGTGGTTAAAAATGAAGAAAAAGTTATTGATGTAATGGAAAATATTATTTTATTGAAGAATGTGTGGTTGAAAATGAGTAGAAGAATGAGAATGAAAAAAATAATGTGTACCAAACAGGGGCCTAATGATGAATTCAAATTTGCATTCATCGGAATTATATACAGAAATGATCTAATGAGCACCGGTGCTCATCTTATCCTAAACACCAATGAGTTGGCACATTAATTCATTGGTGGATTGGAACTCACAAAATCTTTATCCACCAATGAATTAATGTGCCAACTCATCGGTGCTTAGGATAAGATGAGCACCGGTGCTCATTAGATCATTTCTGTATATATATATACCTTGACAGTTAAAATATATTTATACTTTCTAATTTGACATTATTAAGAGTGTGTTTGAAAGAATGTATTATTGAATAGTAGATTGATGGAGAATGTGTGGTTAAAAATGAGGAAAAAGTTATTGATGTGATGGAAAATATAATTTTATTGAAGAATGTGTGGTTGAAAATGAGTAGAAGAATGAGAATGAAAAAAATAATGTGTACCAAACAGAGCCTAAGTGTTTATTTTATTTAAATTTAAAAAATAAAAAAATTGTATACATAACTAAACAACATATAAAAGACGAGAGGAGAAAAAATAAAGAAAACAGACAAAAATAAGAAGCAATTTTTTCCTAAACCCAGTTTTTTATTTAAAAAATATAAATAAATAAATAAAATGCAAGAAAATAAAAGGAATTCAAAGAAATAATCTGAAAAAATGCCAGCTGTGAAGCCCACAAAAAAGCTATACAAACAATTGATACCGAACAAGTTATCATGCGTCGCCTAACATCATTAGATCCTGACCACACAAAACCAAAGCTAGGAACAGCACAAATTCCTATGCACAAACAAAGGCATCTATTTTCTCTCTCTTACCTTGAAAATGGGGAAAAATAACGATGAAGGTCCTAACATTAACATGAAAAGACTATTTTGACCACCATTACTATATCGAATGGTCGATCAGATATTGGTGTGGAATATAAATCTCCATATTAAGATTCTGTTTGAGTCCCATTTTTTTTCAAAAAAATATTTTGGAATATTGATTTGATGGAGAATGTGTGGTTAAACAATACAATCATGTTACAAGTACAAAAGTTTTTGATAGAAAATCTTTACAGACAACACATGGCGCACATCATTAGAAGATGGAAAAAAAGTCCAATCACAATTTTCCACATCGGCATCGGTGCACATTTTGTTAATTATCTCATGTACTCGTGGCTTTATTGTAAAAAATGAAGAAAATTTTTGGGTTTACGTATAATATTATTTTATTGAAAAATATATGATTGAAAATAGGAGGAAAAAAAATGTATTTTAGAAATAATAAGACCAAACAAGGGCTAAAGAAATGAGTTGCATTGAAAGGATTTGTAATGGAATGGTTAGTATTGAACCAATTCCAATTCCAACAATTTTTGGTGCATTGGTAATTCAGATTGGACTCGATTTTAACAAGTATTTGTAGACTAGTTCCATCGAAAGAGTTGGAAAAATAAAATTAAGGATGGCAAAACACTCGACTTTGACCTGTGTTAATGGGGAATAGATGCCGGGATGAAGAACACGATTCTCGCCCCTACTCTTATGTTTATGTTTTTAAAGTAAAAATAAATAAGTAAATGGGGTTGAGAATAGAGATACACTAATCTACACCCTTGCCTCCGGATGCCCAAAGGGAATTGCTCTTTTTTGAACGTTGAGGTTGAGAATATAACTTGAGTAAAGGATTGGAGACCTTTACTACTATTTTTTCGAAATTAAAATAAATTCACCATGTAATCCCTTAAATCCTGCTCATACTTATATTTGTTTCTCTCTCTCATTTCTGTAAAGTATTTGATTGTGCAGTTGCATGTGTTTCTCTTTCTACTGATGGCTTTCATATCAATATCGTCTTGTCTTTTGATTTTCTTCTTCCTTATTGCTGCTGCATTGCCGGATCTTTCCTCTGCATACCTGAAACTACCACTGCTCCGCAAAAGCCACTATCCTCCGGCACCATCTGAAGCCCTCTCCGCGGACTCCCGACGTGTCTCCTCCCTTCACCAACGCCGTCGACATTTCCATACCAAGTTCCCCATCACCTCCGCCGCATCCACCGGCTCCGGTCAGTACTTGGTGTCCCTTCATCTGGGCACTCCTCCGCAGCGCCTTCTCCTCGTTGCTGATACTGGAAGTGACCTCACCTGGGTCACCTGCTCCGCATGTCGCCAGCATTGTTCTTCACGCGCCACCTTCTTCCCTCGCCACTCAACTTCATTTTCGCCTTACCATTGCTTTGACCCATCCTGTAAACTCGTCCCCCACCCCAGGGACCACGTGCAATGCAACCACACTCACCTCCACAGCACGTGCAGCTACGAGTACTCCTACTTCGATGGGTCTGTTACCAGAGGATTCTTCTCTCACGAAACGACGACGTTTAACTCCAGCTCCGGTGAACTAGTGCGGTTTCAGCATTTATCTTTCGGGTGCGGGTTCAATAACTCTGGGCCTAGTGTTTCAGGCCCTAGCTTTAATGGAGTCATGGGCTTGGGCCGTGGGCCTATTTCTTTTTTCTCTCAATTGGGCCGAGAGTTTGGACACAAGTTTTCTTACTGTTTAATGGACTACACTATTTCCCCTCCGCCAACAAGCTATCTTTTAATTGGCGGCGCCAAAAGGTCTAAGCTGAGCTATACTCCGCTACTAATCAACCCTCTTTCTCCAACATTTTACTATATCGGGATCGAGACCGTGTTTATTGATAATGTGAAATTACGTATAAGCCCTTCGGTGTGGGCCATTGATGAATTGGGCAATGGTGGGACCGTTGTAGACTCAGGTACGACTTTGACCTTCTTAACGGAGCCGGCTTATCGCATCATACTAGCCACGTTCGATCGGCTTGTGAAGTTGCCTAGGTCGGTTGACCCGACTCTAGGATTCGATTTATGCTTCAATGTGTCCAACGAGTTAAGGCCGAGTCTTCCCAGACTGAGTTTCAAACTCGGTGGTGGCTCATTATTCGCACCACCACCTCGTAATTACTTCATTGACGCGGCGGATGGTGTTAAATGTTTGGCATTGCAGCCCGTTGCACCATCATCGGGTTTTTCAGTGATTGGAAATTTGATGCAACAAGGTTACACGTTTGAGTTTGATAAGGATAGGATGCGACTCGGCTATTCAAGACGTGGTTGTGCAGTGCCATAACTCACTGAGTCTTCATAATTCACACTTTACACGATCTTTTTTTTTTTTTTTCATTTCTACGAGTATTAATTTGTCGTTGAATTATAATTGCAAGTGATTAAATTGTCCCATATAATACATTATGATTGAGACTTTTTGGCTGCTTTTTAAGTGTCCGACACTTCCCATTTGTACATTGATTTTATTCGCTTTAGTTGACACTTGCATTGTATTGGATGAAAAAATTGTTTAAAATTTAAATTATTCAATAGGGTAATATCACGTGACAAAGTGTACGTCAAAATGTAAATGTAGCAAGGTTCAGGTATGAAATAGGAAGCTTTTTGAAGTGATGTTAGGGCTATCTCATATTCTCAATAGATGGTAGTCATGGTCAATTTAGAATTTTGAGAGTGTGATGCACGTTAAAATATAAAGAATGCATTTTTTTGTGATGTGATGATGAATATGTGATTGAAAATGAAGGAAAAATTATTAATTTGATGAAAAATATTATTTTATTGAAGAATATGTGGTTAAAAGGGAGTAGAATAATGAAAATGAGAATATGACTCAAACAGAGACTTCATGCCACACTTATTTAATACTTAAATAGTGATCCGATTCTAATTTTTTTTTTTTTTTTGTCTATATTAAGTTAGTCAACATTAAGGGATGTTAAGTGGGACGAACCATTTGATAGGTCACATGCGGAAACCAACTCGCCTCGAACTTCCAAGTGGCTCAAGAGCCGGCTCGACTCATCGGGCCCAACTTTCTTGATACGAGCCGACTCTTTTGACTCATTTAATATCCATAGTTAACGATTGTTTTAGACTGAATTCATGAGTGGGATGACTGGACTGGCACTAAATGAGAGATTGAGGATAATGATTTAAGAAAACAATGTGTCTGAGATTTTTTTTGCACAGAAGTTTGAGATGACAATTTGTCCGAGTTGTCAATTTAAGACTGGAAAAATAGGCAGACTTCAATTAATTTCTTTCTTTTTATTTTTTTTTTAGCATATTTGCTACTTCACAGCTGTAAAGACAAACATACCCATCACTTTTTATTGGCATGACTGGTATTCTTTCCTTCTTTGTTAGGTTGTTACATCAAAGTTCATTAATTCTGTCACAGGATGAACAATGGGTGACTCTAATTTCATCTTTATTGATATAATGTATAAAAAACAAAACAACTTCACTCATAAAAGTACACCTTCTTTATTTTTCTACCTTTGTTAATTGGAAAATGGATATACATTCTTTTGACATTATGATATGAAGAAAAAAAAAAAAAAAAAAGGTTAAACCACAACCTTGAGGGCTCCCACCCCTAGAGTATTATGAAGGAGGTAAATCGCTGGATGTGTTTTAGTATGTCAGGGTACAAGAGCTGTCCTACTGATGTCTACAAAGAGTCAAATTTCATACATTGTAAGAGGCAGTAATTGAACCCTCACACTACAGTTGTCAGCTCAGCTGAAACTATCTCACTCATGTCCTTTGCACCACTGAGCTATGCTTCGAGGGACTTTTTTTTTTTTTTTTTGACATTATGATTCACATGTCAAGTGTTGATTGGGCGAAAAAATTATCAAAAAATTAAAATGTTTAATAATACGTTATCAAATGTAAAGAATAATGTACATATAGCAGCATGATTGTTGTTAATTTTGAAGGATAATTAATTTTATAAGCATATTAGACACTCAGACCCTGTACAATCCAAAAAAACAAATGTCAGTAGATTGACAATGTCGGTAAATTGATAAACGGCTCATTTTAGCGTTACGTGTCAATTTGTTTAGGATTTGTCAAATTGAAGTTTCTTGATAAGATCTTGATAATGTGAATTCAATTGCATCACAATCTATTGTACAGGTTAATTTGGAGTATTCATTCAATAAACCAATATGGTTTGGATGAAGAAAGACGAGCCATTTTATGGATTAGAAATGTCCAAAGTGTATATCTGCTTTGACATTTGATGTGTTGTTAAAAACAGATTGAAAGAAAAAAAAATATTTTTTAAAGTATTCAACGATATGCTGTAACGTGACAAAATGTAAAAAATGATGTACATGTAGCATGATCCTCACTCCAAGTATTATTTGTGATTGTTTTTAGAGTTCCGAATTCTTTTCGTTAAACATTCGTAACTATTTTAAGCCCCTATGTGGTACGGATTAAAATCTAATTTTAATTCAAGTCAAAATCAAACAATCAATATTAACAACATCTTTCAGGGTACCACAACTTTTCAACCATACATTTCAAAAATTTCTATCACAATCTACTAAAAATCTAATTTTAATCTATACCAAACACCCTCTAAAAGTGTTTCATAAACTTGACAAAATACGGGCAAGAAATAACAATCATGTTACATGTACATAATCATTCACACAATCTTTTACATTCCCCTCACATGGAGGGGGTCCTACACATAATAAAATATTCGCGCACACTATTCATGTGAGATATGTGTACTTACACTTGGTGTACAAACAGCTTTATCCAATAACTAATCTGTACTGTCTAACAGTAGATTATGAGAAACAGTAAATTTTAGTTTTTCAGATTTTGCTTTAACTTCATCAAATTACTTATCGTTAAAACAACAAATATAACCCCATGAATAAAAACTAACTCATTTTTTTGTTATGAGTCTGATGGTATTCTAAGTTTCTTTATTTTTTTGTCTACTATATAGGTATGCTTTTTATTTTATAAATTTGAGTTTTAATATATATTAATCAAATTTGGTGACCAATGTGACACTAAATATGAAGTTAAGTGGTCATTGTGAAATAAAATCAAATTTGGTGGTCAATGTGACACTAACTATAAAGTTGGATGGCCATCGATGAATTTAACCCTATTTTTAGATAAATATTTAAGTTATAAAATTTTGAGTTTTAATATATATTAAATTTTTTCCCATTTATAAATTATAAATTTTGAGTTTTAAAATATATTAATCAAATTTGGTGGTCAATGTGACATTAAGCATGAAGTTAGGTGGTGGTTATGGTGAAATAAAATCGAATTTGGTAGCCAATTTGACACTAACTATAAAGTTGGGTGGTCATCGATAAATTTAACCTTATTTTAGATAAATATTTAATAGCATTACATGTTATAAAATTAACAATAATTTTACCAATAGATAAATATAACAATATATCAGGAGACAATTATAAAAATTGATAAGCAAGCAAGATTAAAAATGTTAAATTACAATTCTTATCGAATAACATTATTTATGAATAAACCATCAAATTCATAATTGTGGTTGAAGATTTTTTTTTTTTTTTTTAAATCAAATGATAATTGCAACATCGGTTTCAAACATTTCTCCTTTTCGCGAAGTTGTCCTTAACCTGCACAAATCAGCACTAGTTTCAAACATTTCTCTTTTTCGCAAACTTGTTCTTAACCTTCACTTTGTATCGTCCACAATTCCCAATCTTTGAAAACGTTGCACCAGGAAGACAAAATGACAGAAATCGTTAACTACACCGTTAGTTGACCAAAAATCACCGTTAGTTGACCAAAAATCGACGATCTGATTAAATTGACTAATACAAAAGGGTAAAATGAAAAAAAATATATGGAAAATGATCATCATCTTCTCTCTTTTTCGAAAACTTGTTCTTAACCTTCACTTTGTATCGTCCACAATTCCCAATCTTTGAAAAAGTTGCACCAGGAAGACAAAATGACAGAAATCGTTAACTACACCGTTAGTTGACCAAAAATCAATGATCTGATTAAATTGACTAATACAAAAGGGTAAAATGAAAAAAATATATGGAAAATGATCATCATCTTCCCAACCCTACCTCCCCATTCAATTACCCACCTCACCTCCAATTTAAAATTTAGTGTTTTAAAAAGCTCGCGTAGGCGGTGCCTAGACTCGAAACTCTAGCAAAACGCCTAGTTTCGAGCCTAGATTTTTTTTCCACGAGTCGGGTTATATAGTTAAAGAAATCAAAATTATCGAAATTTTACCAAAAATAGCAAAATCTCAATATTCATACCAAAAAATAGTACGTAATAATATAAATAAAATTCCAAAACTTTAGCTCAATCCGGGTTCACAATCTATCTTAAAAAGGCAAACAAAATATTACTAAAAATGCAAAAAATAACTTAAAATTGGAATTTAAAAGGGAAAACAGCGGATTTTGCCCTCAAAAACAATTCGCATCGAGCATAGCTCATGGCCACGATATACGTACCAAAAAAAGCTTTCGAATTGGGGTCATAAGCGTGATTCCGATAACCATAGCCAAAGTTATGGCCAAATTTCCAAAATTCATTCAAATGTTACCAAATTAGGAAAATACTACGTTCACTTGCCATATTTGCGTTGATCTGCCAACTCGTGATATTTTAGCGCAATCAACATGTTGTCGACAGTTCAGCGTCATCTGGGTCGGATGCTCCTGCATCAGTATGCCAGAAAAGAGAAAGATTTGAGACATCTACTTCAATTATCCCTTAAATCAATGATCTAGCATTCATAATATTACCATGCAAAACTTCACAAACAAGGGAACGAGAAAGATTAAAATTAAAAAGAATAACAATGAGAGAAAAGTTTTACGTATGACCTAATAGCTAATGTCTTATTCGGGCGCAGATCTACAATAGGGTCAGCTGTCCCCACACCCGTGCCCAAGTTTCTTTTTTAATATGTTAGCCCATGTTAAAATCAAAATCAGCCCATGTTCCCATCAGTCCAACCCAAAGCAAAAAAAATTAAAACCAAACTTTTTTACTTACCTTAGCCCAAGCCCAAAACAAAAAAAATTAAAAGCAAACATGTCAGCCCAATTCCCATATACCCAAAAAAATTAAATTTTTTTTCTCTCTCTCAATCTCTACGTGTTGATCGTGCACCTTGCGTTTTCTCAAATTAAGGTTTCTTCTTCTTCGATTTTATTTTGTATGTCCCTTTCTATTAATCTTTTTTTTTAATGTATAGTACATTTATGTAAGGCA